TGAGTCACTAGGTCTTGAATGATGGGTCTTACTTGTTTGTTGGTTGGTTTGCATGCACTAGTGCTATTTCCTGACTAGTTGACTAACAAATGTACTTTAAGCTCGGTCCCATTTTGGCCAGGATACAAGCTAGCTCTTACATATAGTAGTAAAGTCAGCAAAAGGTCACTTGGCAGAGCCCACTGTAATCTTTGTTATTTTCTAAGAGTATGCAGGGATTAAAAACAATCGCTTATCATGTTTTAAGCAACATCTCAGTGTAATGGGGGAAGTGACAGTAGTGCCTAGAATTTTTGAGAGTTAACTAAGTAATAATATTGGTTTTAATTTAGCAACAATGTTTTCTTTCATTAGATTAATTCTCTCATTAAAACCAAATAAATATCCTAAGGCATTAAAATTTGAACATGAATCTGGTTGAGAAAAATTGATTTGAGTTTTACTTAAGCAGTATATTTCATTTAACTTCATGCTTTATATATAGTTAATGAGATGACTTAGGGGCCCAAAGGTAAAATGCAAAATTTTTAAATAAGAAGAAGAATGTTTAGGAGGATATTTTCATTACCTCAGGGTGGGAAATAATTTTTTAAGTACAAGCTCGACCTCAATATATACCACAACTGAAAAACTGATGGTTTTGATACATCAAAATATGTCAAAAGGTGTCACAAAATACTGTCTTAAGAGGAGATAGTTGAAACATATGCAGTAGTCAAGGGGTTAATATGCAGAATATATATATCACTACTGGAAATGAATTGAAATATTATAGCCTAGTCTGTGGAAAAATGTGTAAAGAAAATGATGGAGTGAGTAATCAAGATGACAGCCAATATGCATATAAAAGTGCTCCCTTATTAATAATTACCAAAATGTAAAAAACTTAATAATTACTAAAGTGCAAAAAATTAATAATTACCAAAGTGCAAAACAATGATTTACCATTCACTCATAAGAGTGCCCAAAGCTCAAAAGTCAAACAATACCAACTATAAGCATGAATGTAAGAGCATAGGAGTTCCCAAGCACTATACCTTGGAGGGCTAGTGCAATTTTCCTACAGAGCAGAGAGCTGCAAATTTGTCCTCACTGCTCCACACAGAAAATATTTTAGGTTTGAGAGCCACAAAGCAGCATCAAAGCTATGTGAGTGCTTACTTACGTAAACATTTAAAAATGTAGAAATCAAGCAGGGTGTCATGGTGCATGCCTGTAATCTCAGCACTCGGGGGGCTGAGGCAGGAGGATCTTGAGTTTGAGGCCAGCCTAGACTACATAGTAATCCCTGTCTCTAAAAATAAATAAATAAATATGCAAATACATATATACATACATAATGCAGAAACCATTTGTAACTCACAGGCTGTGTAAATATCAGATGATGTGCCAGATTTGGGATCTGGACTTGAAAATCCCCATTCTAGAGCAGTTTGGGCTGATCCAGGATCCAGCCATTCTACTTTCTGGCATAGGCCTTAGAGAAACTCTTACCCAGGTGGACACAGCCTATAAGCGCATCGCAGTATTGAAGAGTACGACTTTGGAAAATGGCTTACCTTTCCATCAGAAAGAGAACTGACAAACAAATGGGGTGTATTTAATCAATGACTTGGTACATGACTACATATACTAATGATAAAATTAGCTTCGTGTGTATAAAGATTAAAAGATCTCAAAAACAACATATGGTAAAAAATGTAGCTACAGAATATATGTAGACTATGATGCAATGCATTCTGAAAAATCACTGCTACAATGCGTGACCCTGTCCAGCTCAGCCTGTGTGGTATGACATGCAGAGGCAGCTGTCACTGCATTGGAACAACTAAAATACGTTCATATTTGCCTTCAAATTCTGGTATAAAATGTATTTAGATGCCAGCCTTAAATTTGGAAAATTATATTTTTAATAGATCATATGTGTGTGGCAAACCTCTGTATTTCATTGATTTGAAAATACATATTTATTTTTACATTTTCACAACTAAAATAGGAATGTATCTTGTCATGTATGTATGTAGTTGATTTGTTGCTTTTCTTAGCATTACACAAAATGAGTTTTCTTGTAATTGACACTATGCTAAATATAGTGAAATATAATTTAAAACTGAAATTTGGATTCATATTATATTCATCACAGTTGTTGGCTCAGAATGAAAGTATTAAAAAAAGAAGGAAAGAAGGGAGAGAGGGAATTGATCCAGGAAGGACATAAATGATATATTACACTGATCATCTAAACTTTACTCTTTTTTTTTTTTTTTTTTTTGATACTGGGGTTTAAACTCAAGGCCTACACGAGAAGCCACTCAACCAGCCCTTTTTTGTGATGGGTTTTTTTAAGATAGAGTCTCGTGAACTATTTGCCTGGGCTGGCTTTGAGCTAAGATCCTCCTGATCTCTGCCTCCTGAGTAGCTAGGATTACAGGTATGACTCACAGTGCCTGGCTAAACTTCTATAACTTAAAAATATCTGAACTAACACAATACAATTTCAACATTTGTCAATACACAGCTTTAAGTGTATACATCATTAGTTTTGGTGGTAGCTATAATCATCTCCTTATGACTAAAACACATCTCAAAAATGCAAGACTAGCTCACACATCCAAGATAACTCTGGAAACTACTTGTGTTGAACATTATTATTCTTTCTTTCAAATATAACACAATATAGAGGCCAGGGAAGTTAACTGATTCTCACAGAGTTATACTTCTAGTGACCAGTAAAGCTGAAACCTGAATCTAGATCTGTGGACCCCATTTCCATGTTCTACACCATATTTACCAAATGGTTCTCATTGACATGTACACTTTTCAATTTTCAATTTCTTAAGAGACTTTAAAAAATATGAAAAAATAAAAAATGATTTCAACTTATACTTTTTAACTCAGAATTTAAAAAATTACAATGAAAAAATTATAACAGATGCTTTAGGCAGATATATAAGTCAGTAGAACAAAAGAACTGGGTATGGATTTTCAGGTATGCTCTGTGGATCCTAAGGTTTCAGGTGAACACAGGAGTCCTTGGGTATGCTGAAATGTTTCATAATCAATGCCATATTTTTGGCCCATGAAGGTTTAGACTGACCACAAAGGCTAGGCCGCAGTTTGAATACTTTATTTCATAATATTAGTGATCCCTGTAGAGTTTCACTTAAAAGAAATATCACTTGACTAAGTAATTTACTAGGCTGGATAACTTTTCTCCTCAGATTTCACATTTTGGGACTTTGACTTTAAGAATCAAATCTGTATCTGAGTGTGAATAATCTGCACTGGAGAGAGCAAATAGTTATTTTAATAGGAAAATAATTGGATTGATTACTAGAAAAATCTAGGTTAATCATTTTCATACACAGATGATTTCAATCCAATCTGTCCTGAGTTAAACTCTTGGTCAATAGTCTCCAAGCTATTCCAGTTTTAGAGTGACAAACATATAATTAGTGATTAATAAACATTAGTTGAATCCGTGAACAAATGAATGAATGAATAATGGATGAATGACACAGACCTGAAGGTCCTGGAAGGAAGGACACAAAGATCCCAAGGCTAAGGCACTGTGTGACTACCACCGAGACTAGATCCAGATCCGAATGCCAGGTCTCCATGCTTCAGGCCCATGCTCTTTGCTTCTGTGACTATCTTTAAAGTCAATTCCATATGAAAAATACCAAAACTATTTCTATGTGATTCTACCACTTGAGCCCAGGACATAAGAAAGTATCAACATGAACTTTTTGATAGATGTGATAGTTTGGAAGTCTTCACCTGTAGCACATGGAATTTCTAAGTTATTACATCTCATTTATCAAGTGCTTATTTATTCATGGATATTTAGAACTGGAAAGACCTTAGAGATAACATGTAGTTTGTTTTATTCAAGTGAGTCTTTGGCAGACTTGATGCAGACATGCTCAGTGGCTATTTTAACTTCAGTATCTAGAGAAGCAACAAGCAGGTGCATGACTCCTGGTTTGGAGACCAGACAGAGGTAGAGACACTCTGAGTCTACCATTTACACTCTGTGTGACATTGAGCAAATTACTAAACTTCTCTGAGCTTCAATTTCATCATTGTCTAGTTGGGAATACTGCCTAACCTAATTGTCCCAAAGATCAGGAATAATATTGTAAAACATTTTGCCACTCCATAAATATTATCAACTGTTTTTATTTCACTTATTTCTGATAAAGAGTAACATTTGGGTTCCTAACTGGGAACTTTTAACATGGTATCAGAGCATAGCTTTGCTTATTAAATATGGACAAATTCATCCTATGCAGATATACATTTGGTTTTAAAAAGATCTGAGAACTACATTCCTCAGTTTGTTAGAGGCTACATTTTATAACTGGTTTTCCTTTGTTTTAAATGAAATACACTGAAGAGAAAAATCTGCTTGTGTGACAATAATAATTTTTTCGTGGACTTTGGTATCAGTTTTCTTGAGCTTTTACAACATTTGCCGCTATGTATGTACCTTATTCTCTCCCATGTGTTTCATTCAGTCATGAAAACACTGTGCTGATTTCTAATTAACTGACTGCACCCTGAGGTCTCCAACTTCTGTCCCCAGCTTAATTACAGCTGTGAAGAGGAAGCAGTGAAATTGAAGACAGTGTCTCTACATGATAAAACAAGTAATACTGTAGTCCCAGTTTGATCTGTAGATTATCTATGTGTGAGTGTTGAAGGGTAAACTGGTGTATGAATGTGAGATTTCTGTTTTGTTTTGCTTCATGTTTCCTCTCATGCAAACACTTGTGCCTGAAAGAGCAAGTTCTACCTTAACAAATCTGACATCTAGTTCTTCAAGTAGTTCCTTGATTTGTAAAAGTTAGGATGGAAGTGATCTCTTCCAACTGGACTACACTGAACTTGCCCTTTGGCTCTCACTCACTTTGAAATTGACAAAGAGGACAAATATCTATTGATGCTCATTCCATTATGAATTTCAAGATATAATTGAAAAAAAATGCTAAGCTCACCAGAGTGGCAAAGAGGTGGTACAGAATGAAGTAGATGGCAACCACAGGCGCCCACATATGTCCTACAGCGTTCAGAGTCTGGTCCATTACGTCTACCCATCCTTCCTGGGTGAGGATCTGGAACATGGACATAAATGCCTGCAGAGGAAAAGAATGGAGGGTTACTCACCAGCTTCCGCTCTGAATGCAGCTTAAAATTAGTCTGTGGTGTTCAGTTAAGAATTTTAATCTCAATGTTGTTGATTCTTATTTGATTGATCAGGGGAAAAACAGTCTTGATATAGCACATGGTAAAGAGCTTAGAACAAAGACCTTAGAAGCATCATTTCTAACTATTTAGTGTGGAAAACCAAAATAATTAGCCTGTGTTAAAACTAGCCTTGGTGGTGGTAAATATTATAGAGCAAATTAGGGAAAAAAATTCAGGATCTTTGCTTTTTTTATATTTGCCTTTTATTATTTTTCCCTTTTAGTAAGCTACCTATTGAATATTTCCAACAGATTATTTATTTATTTTTGATACTGCTGAGAGAAACTTATTATTTTATTTATATATGACTATCTAGTGCATATAAGAGCATAATAATATTAATTTTATTTTTTGGTACCCACCTATGAAATTATTTCCTTTATCATACTAAAAATATCTGACTCTTAAAAAGAAATATTTTTAAACAATATTTTCATGCTGAGAAACTTAACAAAGACACATTTTTCATGATTTAAAAAAAAAAAAACATTGAGGCATGGAGTCAAGACCACAGAGGAAATCAAGACTAAAAAAATATTAGGACCTTCCAATAAAAGCCAGCCAAGCTAAAAGAGTCTTATTCTTTCTGAAAAGATCTTTGGTTCCACTCTGACATGCTTTCCTAATTAAATATATGATTATCTATGTATCTTTGACTCATGTGTCCTGTATACATCAGTGGTCAATAAATGCTTCTAAATAAGACTTTATGATGATATCTGCTAAATTAGATAATTGGAATCTAGTGACTGTTTAAAAATGTTCTTCTAGGTTTCAGTAAGATGAAGATATAATTTGAATTACCAGGCACTAGAATTCTAAGCAATAATATCCAGGATAATACAAAGGACTGAAGCCTTGATAAAAGCTGTGTTTTAGTGCTAGGATCTTAGAACCAAAAGGGACCCTAAAGATAATCTAATCTGGTTCTTTCTTTTTGAAGATAAAGAAAGTGAGGCTCAAAGATGATAAGTGATTAGCCCAAAGTCACTCTATTAATTTGTTGCAACAAAAGAAGTAGCAGCCAGGCACTATGGGTTCAAATTAGTACTTTTCCAAATATTGTATCCTGTGTTTAGCAAAGTTTTTGGATCTGGTGCTTCCAGGTCTCATCATATAGTGATCTATCTTATCATAGTTTCCTTTTCCAAGGGTGATTAACTTTTTCAGAAGAGTGATTTTCAATGCCTAGAACATAGTACACTCATTTGAATAAAGGAAAAATGAATTGTTAAATGAATCTTGAACCAGGGGATCAGTTTTCCTACTTAAACTTTGTCCAAATATGAAGCTCTTCTTGAGTTAATTTTACTATGATCTTATTATCCTACCAAGTGCTTTTTGTACCTGAAATCATGAAGTATGTTGTTACTGAGACTTGACCCAGGCCTTGCCAAGAACAATGTAGTATTTTCTTTGCCCGGGTTTTTAAGTGAAGACCATTCCCTACAAAATTAGCTTTAACTTACTATAAAAATGCTACAGACACTTTTTAAGAAACACATCATTTAGCCTAAGAAGTATGCCAAAGCTTATCAGTGATGGCAATTATTTTTTCCTGTATTATTTTCTATTGAATATTTATTATACCCAAAGGCAAGGAGTGCAAATTCCAAAGATAATTCAAATAATTGTATCCAGTTGCTGTATTTTCTTCCACAAACATGTTGCCCATGTGAAAGCTTGTATACATTTGAGACCCCACAGCAGTAGGTGAAATATTGCAACACCCACCAGTATAAAAGGAATTTTGCCAGACATGGATTTCTTTTCCCAGAAGTAATAGGAAAGCTTGTGATTAAACCCAACAGATTTATTCTTGGTACCCAGAGACCAAAAATTTAGTTCTATCTTTCAGCTGTCTTGGACACAAACCAATTTAATTTGTTTTCATGTATTGCATCCCCTTTCATGAACATTCAGCTAGTCTGTATTCAGTAAATGCCCAGGAATGTGGAGCTGTGGGACTATAGTCTGTTATCGTGAGATAAGCAATGAGGCAGGAACACTGGAATTGTCCTCCACTCTTTTCAGAGTTTCACACAAAAAAAATCTCAGTTCTGCATAGCTCAATCACCTGAAAGTTCATATTGTGAGATGCTGTGAATATATTTGAGAGCAAAGCTTTCCCTTACAATGGGATTTGTATGTTTATGGTTGCTCACTTGAATAAACCAATGAAAGATATTGCCCTGAAATCCTTCTATTATAGTCTGAAAATTAATTTGTGTTTTGCCTGAAGGGTGCTTTAGTTTTTTGTTGACATTGTATCCAGAAGTTTGAATTCAAATGATAAATTTATTGGGACTGTGACTCAAGTACATCCACTGACTTAGTGCATAAGGTCCATATTCCTGGAAGAATCTACTTTGCTTATTTGGTCCAACAAGGATTATTAGTGGGTACTGAAAGTGTGATGTGTTGGGATTGAGATAAGTAACACATGGCTTCTTCTCTTAAGAAATGTATAATCAAGAAGGGAAGAAAAAGAGGAACCTTATCAAACCTAAGAAAAGAAAGAATGAAAAATATAGTGTGCTAGAGAAACATGGCAAAGCTACCATTTTGGGTTAGTCAAGAACAGTTTTGAAGTCAGGAGCAAGTGGCTCACACCTGTAATCCTATATACTCAGGAGGCAGAGATCAGGAGGATTGCAAAAAAGGGCTGGTGGAGTGGCTCAAGGTGTTGGCCCTGAGTTCAAGCCCCAGTATGGCAAACAAAGGAAAAAACCCACAACTCCCCCACCCCCATGTTTTGATAAAATGATGGTAGTTAGCTGGCTTTTCTGATGAAGGTGGGAAGGGTCTCAGTGGGGAAGAAAGCAGCAATGGATAAAGGCTGAGAGGAACCTGATCCTCTTCTCTATTTGTATTTAGCTTATCTCCCTGTTCTGTTGAGTCCTCTCCCCTAAGGACTTCCACTAGCTCTTTATAAATTAAGAAAACTAAGATTTTCTCTATAATATATGTTTGATGTATTTCCCTATCTATGGTATTTTTGTGAAAATAATTTTAAAATTTCTGTGTGGTCTAATTTGTCATTCCTTATATATATGCATTCTGATCATCTTTTGTTAAGTTCATGCTTAATATTATTGTTGAAAACCTTAATCAAGGTAATATCATATGATTTGAGCATTAAGTATTAAAGAAACCTTATTATGGATTTCTTAATAAAACCCAAGTGACAGTCTTGTGCGTAACTTCCACTTACAGAGGCCACCACTTTTAACAGTATTTTTACTTCTTGTACTATCCATATTCCTATTCAGTATTTCTTCATTTAACTTTAGATAAAAGCTTCTATTACGTATGATATATGAAGATTTAGTTCAGGCACAACATCATTCCCTACTTCCCTGACCACTCCCAAATTTTATGCAAAAACTTCCATTTCTTGTTCTGTCAAGCTAGAATAGCTTGATACCTCACTCACCAAGATGAAGACATTAGCCTTCACCAACCACTACCTCCCCCACGTTTCCTTTTCTATCTTTTGTCATTCATACAAGTTTGACAATATTGATGTTTTGTTTTTCAGTGTAATTGGGTCTTCCATGCTTCTCAGTGAGGTGTTATTTCATATGTTGAATATGAAAATATTGTTCACTGTTGAGCCAGGCAATGTTCTAAGGTTCTGTTTCTTCTTTCAAATCTCTGATTAAGACAGGTATGGGACTCCCAGGTAAATGTCCAAAGTGAAATTGAGTCCCTTTCTTATTATCTACTAATTGCTCAGAATCTGACCCAGTTCAATTCACATTACATTCTCTCTTAGTTTCTTACATAATTTTTGGTTTAGTTTTGGTTATGCTGACTTTTTCTGTTTTTCAGTGTCCCATTGAGAAAAGAAATACATTTTTTTCCTTGTGCCTCACATAGTTCCCAGATTGTCACAAATTTTACCTATTATTGGGAATAAATCCCATTTTTACTATGTTACAGATGCTCTTTTGAGAACCTTCAATTACTAGAAACCGTTGATTCTTATTGCCATAGATATTTTTCTTGGAGTTCTCTCACTACCTGTTCTAATTTCGAGTAATTTCTTTGGAGACTTGTTTCATAGTTGGCATGATTTCCATTTTCAAGTTTCTTTTATAGATTGCTTATTCTCTCCAATCTAATGTCAGACAATGCTCCCCAGTTTTTGGAGTCCTATTTCAATGTGTCAGCTGGTTTTCTTCTCTGTGCTTTGCTGTCCCAGTATGAGAAGAGGGGTTTGCAGATAGTATTTGCTGAAGCCATGAGCAGTGATGTTGGAAAAGTCAGACTTCAGGTGTTTCTCCATCCAGGCAGATTCAGTGAATCTTTATTGCAGCTAGAACCAATCAGTTCCAGGTGTTCCCTTCATGTCATTCCCTGGTCTCTCTCCAGCTGTCACTCTCACTTTATGCCTATGGGTGAGGACACAGGTAATAGAATCCTTTTAGCTTTGGTCCTCGGTGTCCAGATGGGAGGACAACTCCTGGAGCTTTCCTCATCTCTTTTGTGCTGGGCCTCTGAGTCCCTTACAAGCTTCTGTTTCCTTCTTTTCATACTTTCATAGTGCTACATTTTTGTTTGTTGTTGGAAAGAACTGCTTTTCAGAAATTATGATTTTTTTACATTCACTCTTTTAAGATTTGCTTTTCCAATTTCATTTCTTCTTAACTTATTTCAGGAAACAAGATCAGGTGATAAACCCAGGGTGTTCTTGTTCTTTCCTATTCCCTCTCTGTCTCTCTGTGTCTCTGTCTCCCCTCTCTCCATTTTCCTTCCTGGTAGAAGTTATTCAAATAAAATATTATAGTCCTTCATGTTTGGAATCATGTTGCTATGATTTTTTCAAGCTGATTATTATTTTATTAATTTCCTTAGCTTTTAGCCAGGGAAGTCTGTGATTTTG